AGTTAACTAACATAACATCTGAACTAGGGGTGAAAATTGGAACGGAATTCCAAATTCCTTCGATTCCGATCCTAATATTTTCGAGATTTTGTAATAATATTTTCCATTCCAAATTCTGAAAATTGTGATTTGCAATTTTTTCTATTTTTTAGAACGGAATCGGAATACACATTAGATTTCGATTCAATTTCAATTTCCAAAAATATTTCCAAATAATAGACTTAAAATATCAGTATTATTTTATATTATAGTTAACTGAAAATTTGGAAATTCCTAATTCCACCGATCCCGATCTTAAAACTTCCGATTTTGGAACCAGTTTTCTCGTTCCAATTTCCGAAACTCCGATTACCAATTTTTCCAATTTTTTTTTTGGAACTGAATTGGAATTAGTTTTTTCACTTCCGAAAAAAACCCGAATATTTTTCAAATCTGCTAATTCCAATCAGATCCGTCCGATTTTCACCTCTAATCCAAACCAACTACCTTGTGCATGTGTGCATGTGTTGCAAGACAATTCCAGAATACCAAATCGTATATTAAAAAATATATAAATATATACTTACCCATTTTGGCGGCAGAGTTGCAAATCTCTTCCGAAATACTGTCCGTAAAAGAAGATGCAATAGCCGGAAGTTCCGTAGCCTCATGTCGTTTCTCGTCTCTCCACCATTTCTCGATTCTGAGGCTAACGGTTCTCAAAACGGTCAAAGCTTTATCAGGAAATTGACCCATAGCAGACTCGCCAGAAAGCATTAAAGCATCTGCTCTTTGTCGAACTGCTTCAGATACATCTGCTACTTCAGCTCTGGTAGGTGTGGGGTACTCTATCATAGACTCGAGCAGTTGACTTGCAACGATAACGGGCTTATTTAATTGCCTGCAAACTTGGACTATCTTTTGCTGTTCATATGGAACCTGCTCTAACGGGATTTGTGCGCCGAGGTCTCCTCTTGCCACCATTGCTCCGTCTGAAGCTTGAATGATTTCTTCTAAGTTCTTTAGTGAGTCGATGCTTTCGATTTTTGCAATCACGGAGATGTCGCTGCATCAAAAGAGTCGACTAGATTTAGTTATATTTTACATCAATTTTCATGAACTAAAACATTTTGATTGTATAATAAAAGACGTGCATAGGGGTGTGGACACTGGAGCGGAATTTTTAGACTTCTGACGATTTTGATCCAAAATTTTCCGATTTTGGACCAATATATTTGTCATTCCAAATTGTTTTGGATCTGAATTTGAATAAATGATAGATTCCGATTTCCGATCCAAATTCGATTTCCGGAAATAATTCCGAGCATTAAATTTTTTTCCGAAATTTACACTTATAGTATTCATATTATTGTGTATTTTAGGTGAGTAAGCAATTGAAATTTATAAAATTGCATTCTATAAGTTCGAATTGATTTCCGGTTTTTCCAATAAAATTGGAATTCGGAAACCAAGAACTTTTCGATTTCCGCCATTTCCGATTCTCAAATTTTCCGATCTTGGAACAATATTTTTCATACCGATCTCCGTTTTTTCCGATTTTTTTTCCAGTAATTTACACTCAAAATATCCGTATTGTATATTTTGTGGCTTAGGTGACTAAAATATTGGAATTTATGAAATTTTGGAATCGATTACCATTTCTTCCGATTTCAAATAAAATCGGAATTTCGGAAGCTGGAATAATGATCAAAAAATCTGGAAAATCGGGTCTTACCTATCACGAGCACGGGCCTGAATATAGCTCTTGAGATGCTTGATAACTTCGGCAGACTTAACAAAAGATATAGCAATGAATTCAACACCTTCAGCAATCCCGAAATCAATGTCCAACCAGTCCTAAGGAGTAAATAATGCTCAAGAGTAAGATCTATGAAACAAAACACAAACATGGGCTCAAAGATAACTCGATAAACAAGGGAAAATTACAGCCAACCCCCTGAGGTATGGCCAAATTACGGAAAAACCCCTCTTGTTTGGGTAATTACAGCCACCCCTTCTTTTAAATATTTTTACATAAAATTTATGTAATTCGGTTATTTACCGAACCAAATCGTATATTCAGTTCGGTAAACGGTATGAAATGTTGGCATACCGAAATTTCGGTTCGGTTTACCGATTTAAATCCCTAAATTTACCTCAGGAGGGGTATTTTCGTATTTTCGTAAGATAATATTGATAGTTGAGGGGGTGACTGTAACTACCCAAGCAACAACTACCAAACAGGAGGGGGTCTTCGTAATTTGACCATAACTCATTTGACCATAACTCAGGGTGACCGTAATTTGCCCCGATAAACAATCAAATTGCATATAACGTACATATTCAAGTTATCCGCAAGCACATAAAATTAAAGTCTAACCAAATAGTAGGATCGAACTATACACAGAGCAAGGCTTTAGCAGCAGATACATTGGGGGTTCAAACGGTAATTTTGATCCGAAGAGAATCTTTTCAAGGAAGATTCACAAACCTTGGAGGAAATTGTAGGGAGCATTGCGTTGCGTTCGCGCACTAAGCTACCATCACGCCAGAACGTAAGATTCGCTCGAGGCAGTAAAAGTCCAGGATCCGTACAACGACACTTTACATCCGGACCGATTTTCTCGATAACCTCAAACCTCACCATTCCACCATCCACTAGAAGTTCGTCGCCTACTTTTACATCTGTCGTGCCGGAATCAACCACTCGTTAGCAAAACACGCGTATTCTTTCACATATGCTGTGTATAAAGTGTATGTTTCTAACCTTCGGCGAAGCCATCATAGTTCACATTGATAGTGCATTCCGGAAGAGCCGTATCGAAAGCTCGAACACTGAAAGTCCATATCTCACCATCCTGCGTAAGAAACAACGAAACGAAATCTCAATTCAGCAATTCAAATAACGACATTTTAATCGGATTATTTGGGGATTCTACGATTATTTTTTGATTCGGCAGAAGTTTCGATTTCGGTACCTCGACTTTGGAAGAGGAAGTGCCGCCGAGATCCCCCATGTGGATCTCGCTGCCCTCGGTATCCATCATAATCGCGACGGCGTAACCCTTCTCCTCGTTCAATCTCCTCACGCGCTGAATTACATCCCGGTGCCACTCCCTAGTGCCGTGGCACATGTTAATTCTGGCGACGTTCATTCCTCCCACCGCCAGCGCCTCCAGCTGCTCCGGCTGACACGTGGCCGGACCGATCGTGCAGATGAGCTTCGTGCGCCGCGTGCTTCGGAATCCGTTCTCCTTGAGCTCCGCCTCCGTGACAGCGTCAACCTCAATCGAGCCGGAGTCGGAGACCACAGGCAAAGGGGCGTGCGCCGGCAGCGCGGCGGAGCCGGCGCCGTTGCCGGATGTTAGGACGGGAGGATTCGGATCGGAGGCGGAGGCTGTTATGAAGAGGGGGGTTTTGCTAGGGTTTTTGGTGAGCGAGAAGCGGGAAACGGCGCCGGCGAGAGGTGGGGGGCGATGGGAGATCAGGGGTTTGGGGGAACGGGAGGTGGAAATGAAGATATTCAATGCCTGCGCCATGAAATGAATACTTGAACAGGCGGAGCGCCGCCGTGAATTGTTGAAGAGGGGATTGCCGGTGGAAACGAGGAGGAGAGAGAAAGTGGAGAGAGAAAGAGACAACAGGGAATAGTTGGGTGAGGAATTTGGGAAGTAATAAAGAAGTGGGCGGAGAAAGCAAAGCTCAGAGTGGAGCTTCGGAAATCTCGTCGGACATGGTATTTTAGCGGTGATGAGTATAATGATAATAATGACAAAATGCTCTTCACCCCCTAAAATTTCTCATTTTCGCACTTTCTCCCCTAACAATTCGTAAAATAGATACTCCCCTTCGAAATATTATTTTAGTTGCATTTTGCCTCAAAAGCTAATTTCTGGAGGGCATTGTGCAATAAAACTAACATTATAAAGGGGCAACATGCAAAAAATGTAGTGTTTTTAAAGGCGACGGGCAACCAAGATACTCAATTGCTATCGGGACAATGTGCAACATGAATAGTATTTTGAAGGGGGACATTCGCTTTGAAAAATTTTGAAGGGGTAAAGTGCGAAAATTAGAAATTTATAGGTTACGATGTGCAATTTGCTCTAATAATAATGACAAATTGCACTTCGCCACTCAAAAGAATCATTTTTTGCACTTTCCCCTCTCAAAATACAAAATGAGACTGTCTCCCTTCGAAATATACAACTCGATGCACGTTGCCCCAAATATGTATTCCCAGTCTAAGTTTCGCGTGGTTTAAGGTAGATATGTCATTTTACTTTTTCCACTTGAAAATCCTCCTTTCATAGTTACTTAAGGTTCCCAAATTAATAAAATTTCTTCCCCATTTGATGAAATTCACTTCGAGATTCGATAAAATTGGTTATTTGTTCTTCATTATCATCTAGGTGAGAAAAATGTTAAATGACATTTAAAGCCTTAAAAGAAGAAATTACCCTTCCAATTTACTTAAATCCGATAAGATTTAGACCGAAAATAGACATTTGGGGCAAAATGCACCGAATTGCATATATCGGAGGGGGACAATCTCGTTTTTGTATTTTAAAGGAGGAAAGTACAAAAAATGATTCTTTTGAGGGGCAAAGTGCAATTTTCCCTCTTTTGAGGGGCAAAGTGCAATTTTCCCTAAAAAAAAAAAAAAAAATCAGAAAGCTCTTTTACCAGAAACCACAGTTTTAAATAGTTATTTGAAGACTGCGAAGCGAAACAAATTTATATCAGCGTCTAGGATTTGAATATCTTCGTCATTTGCATTTCCTCTACAGATAATTATGTTTTTTGTTTTAAGTTTTAGGTACTGAAAATATAAACATTGGCAAATAAATGCCATTGTTCATTCAAAAACTCAAAGATAAATTACGAAAAAAAACCCTTCAACTTGGGTTAATTTACAAACAAAAAATAATCCCTCACCGGCGATGTGACTGAATTTAAAATGTACGTAACCAGGGTACTTACCGGAAAAGCAATCAACGGATAATCGAAAATAATAAAAAAATAAATATATAATAACAACACCCTAATATTCAATAAAAGGCAATAATTCTTGTGTCTCAAAATTTTTCAGGAGACCAATTTACTTTAAAAATTCCATCATTTCTTTTTTTTTTTTTAAATTTAATAAAATTTCCGAACATATGCTAATTCGAACGCCGCCCTCGATGTTGGCATTTCGTCGAACACCGTCTGTTTTCACCTCCACTTGAAACGAAGAAAAAAAAGGGAAGAAGAATTCTTGAAAATCCGATCATAGTATCCAGCACCTGCATTTCGTAGACTCTTGTGGCCCTTCAAACCATCTGTCCCACATAGGATTTATCGGACCAATAGTTCTATAAAAAAAAAAAAAAAAAAAAAAAAGAAGAAAATGTATTTTATTCGACGAGCAAATCGCAATTAATGAAGCAGTAAAATAAATTATGCAAGAGATCTTACACTGGAAGCAGTGGTTCTGGTCTCGTTTCGATGTTAATCAGCATCCTGGTAAAAATTACAAGTTTCCGATTAGAGGGTTTGATAAATGCATAAATAAATAAATAGCAAATAATCGAAATATCTTGGTCACTTACTCCTTGCAAGCGGCGGACGCTTTCTCCATTTTCTCGAGCTGTTCGAGTTCTTCCTGTATAATATCGACTACCATCAGAAAATTATACCAAGCTCGACTTTTCAGATTCTAGCCTTATAAACAGAACACGTGTCAACAAATAATTCGGCATTTTTTTCTGCATTTAATAATAGAATCTACCGAGACTGGGAAATCTCAATTTCACATAGCCTCATTTGGTCGGTGAGATTAGCCATTATTAATTAAAAAATTGGACCTTATCGGATGTTTGGTTTTTCCAATGCCGTCCCGCAATTACGGAAAAAAACAACGGCTCTAATTTTTTTGGCTAATCGAAGGATTATTTAATGAACCTCCCCATGGTATTCAATCGTATTTCAACTAATCTTATCTTAGGAAACAAACAAGGCCTAAGAGTAGACACTAATATGTTTTTATCTTCGAAACGAGGATCTTACCTTCTAACTCCATTTCGCCCTAGATTTTCTTCTTGCTGAAAAACAAGAATGAAATTGCATAACGAAGTCCTCGAAAGTCGAAACATGGCTCTCCTAATGCGCAGAAAGATAAATTCTATTGCGGAATCCACCTCATACAACACAAAGGCAACTCTCTTTTTCTTGTTTTACATAGTCGAATCGTACAAATAAGACAAGCAATTTTGCCACCCGAAATGGGGAGGTGCAAGATTCGACCTTTCACAACTAAAGCAACAACGGGCACCGAAAATTCGAAGCCCCACCATCAAGAATTGATCTTTCACAACTAAAATCAACAACGGACACCGAAATTCATTTCTCCGAAATTCGAAGCCCACATCAAGAATTGATCTTTCACAACTAAAATCAACAACGGGCACCGAAATTCATTTCCCAAGAAATCCGAAGCCCTACATCAAGAATTGATCTTTCACAACTAAAATCAACAACGGGCACGGAAATTCATTTCCCATAAATTCAAAGCCCCACATCAAGAATTGATCTTTCACAACTAAAATCGACAACAGGCACCGAAATTCGAATCCCCACATCAAGAATTGATCTTTCACAGCTAAAATCAACAACGGGCACCAAAATTTATTTCCCAGAAATTCAAAGCCCCACATCAAGAATTGACCTTTCACAACTAAAATCAACAACGGGCACCGAAATTCGAAGCCCCACATCAAGAATTGTTCTTTCACAACTAAATAAACAAGGGGGTCACTTGCTTCAAATTCATTTCTCAGACAAACAACAGCAGAAACAAAAAAAAACAAAAAAAAAAAAAAAAAAAAACAACATATAAAATACCAACCAATTATTCAAAAACGATCGAAAGTCAAATGAAAGTAAAATTCAAATTCAAAAAAATTAAACAAAATTCACCTCCAAGAATCGAAATTCCTGCTCGAGCCTCTTCAATTGAGCAGAAATCCTGTGCTTCCCTCTTGTATCTGCTGCACCCACCGATCCCACTTCACCTGTTTCCATTTTTCTATTTTCTTTCTTCAGTTGAATTGTGGTTTGTTAGAACAAAGCACAAAAGCAGAAGAGCCCTTCAAAATTGATTGTGAAGATTTACACTAAACTATTAAAATGAAACTATTCAAGTATCAAATTCAAGAACTATCACTTCTGGGATTGGAAATTAAAAAAGTTAATTAGGGTTTGAAAAGAGGGGAAAGAAAGAAAGGAGAGCTTTTTCTCTTTCTAGTTGAGGGTTTTCTTTACATGAATGATTTTGTCAAGAATCAAATAATGAGTTGGGAGGAAAGGTTGTAGGCTTTATTCTATTCTACCAAAATCCTTTTTTTGTGTATTTCTTTGTCTCATTCTCTACCCTCTCGCCTCTTTTCTTTTTTCAAACCATGAAACTTATGGGGCTAAATTACAAACCACCCCTGAGGTATGATAAAATTATGAAAAACCCCCTCTTATTTAGGTAATTACTACAACCACCCCCTTAACTATAAATCTTCTTACACGTCCACCCTTGCGGTTTCAAATTTAGTGGAATCTTCGAGATTATATGGAATATTATCACTTTTGTAACCGTTTTAACCATTCGAACTCTACATTTTGCAACAAGATAATCATCAGATGTGTTTTTTGGCTTGTATATATCAGATTGTGGTGCATCAGAAACAGTATTTTTACACAAAACGAGTACAAAATAGAGCACATTCCACGAAATTTAGATGATTATGTTGAATTTACACTATAAGGTGGAGGTGTAAAAAGATTCATAGTTGAAGGGGTAGATGTAATTATCCAAACAAGAGGGGTTTTTTTTCTCGTAATTTGACCATACCTCAGAGGGTGGTTGTAATTTACCCAATTTACGGTGAAATATTACGACAAATTACAAAAAAAAAAAAAAAAAAAAACTTTCATATTTGGGTAATTGCAACCACCTCTCAATATGAATCTTCTTACGCGTCCACATTTATCGTATCAAATTCAACATAATCTTCTATATTCTGTGGAATGTTCTTTAGATTGTAGTCGTTTTGTGTTATAAAAAAAAAAAACCAGTTTCTGATGCACCACAGTCTGATATTTACAGGCGAATAGGCATATCTTATGAGGCATGTTTCAAAACGTGGAGCTGGAATGAGATATAACAAATATAAACTTAAGAATATTCTACATTATCTAGAAGATTCCACTAAATTTGACACCGCAATAGTAGACGTGTAAGAAGATTCGTAATTAAAGGATGGTTGCAATTACTCAAACATGAGTGAATTTTTTTCGTTATTTAACCTTATCAGAGAATGTGGCCGTAAAAATATTTTGAAAAAATTAGATTCTCTAAAAGCGATAAATATTTTATAATAAGATATTAGAAATGTCACGTCTATTCATTTATTTACTCATATCTATATTAGTGTGTGATGGGCCTTAGCTACAACTATAGACCAAAGCCCAATGCCAAAATTGTTGATTCAAGGCCATATTTTAATTTATGTGCTATAAAATCCCGTATTTGTTCAATACTTCTTCATGAAAAATCTCGAGTACAAGGAATGACCTATAATTGAATTAATCATTATTATAAGTAGCCTGATCATTATTAGAGGCCATGTAACAATTTATTGTTAATAGCTTTTAACGTGTTCTTAAAGTTATCGCATTTAAAAGTTGCAAATCATACGAGCGACGTAAATCACACTAGGTTAATCATGTCCCAGACTTCACCTACCGACTTGTTCGATCATCATTTAATGTGAAATTATTATATCCTCGTATAATATCAATTAATTAATTCTAAACTTTGTTTCAACACAAATTTTATTAGATAATTTCAAATATTCAATCAAATTTAGAATAAATCATTCATCATTCATCTCTCCCTCAAATAACCTTTTACACTAAAATCGGAGTCGGTTATGTTAGATGTAAAACCCCCCTTCATATCCACGATTACCTGCATGGACTCCACGTGTTCCTAATTGCCACCGCAGCAAAAAAACACACCACTCACAAAATATATATACTAATATTACTATATATATATATAATGTTCATAAAAAAAAAAAAAAAAAAAAGAAAGAAAAAAACCTCGTATTATTAAGATTAATGTCAACTATTTCCTTAATATCATCAAATTTCTTCAAGAAAACCATCCCACACAATACCCATCTTCCTCTCTCTAGACTTTCCATGAAAAGATTAATCAAACCCAAATACGGTGCTCAAACTTACCCGTTTTCTTCGCTCCGGGTAGCGACCCGGGCCCACGACCCGACCTACGTACCCGGAAAGTCGCCGCCGGAGATTCCTACAGCGCCGCCGACACACAACCCTGGCATACCGCCGGAGATGCCGCAGAGACCCGCAGTTCCGGACTTCGATCCGATTCCTCCGGAGAAGCCTGCTGATACGCCGCCACTCTCGCCTGACCCAAGCCCGGAAATTCCAGGCCCGCCGGATCCAGTTCCGCAGACGCCGGAAATGCCTTTCCCGCCGGGGCAGCCGGAGGTTGTTCCACCTCATGGGCCCGAAGTAGTGCCGCCGGAGCCCGGCCCGCCGTACCCGACCCAGCCCGATATTCCGCCGCCCATAATGGGCTCAAATGGGCTTGTTTTCTACTGACAAGATGTATGGTGTGGTTTATGTTTTATGTCAACGTGTAAATCTTGATAATCATGTTTTAATTCATTTAAAATTATATGTTCGAAATTTAAGCATTGATTTTTTTTTTAATTGTGATTAAATGACAAAACTTATCATGAACGACTGCATTTATTAAGATCAGCCAATTTGCTGTGAGGAATAAATAAACAAAATATTGCATAATAATATTAGTCATCTTTTCCTCAAAAGAAAAAAAAAGGCAAGCAATATAATGCAAATAATCAATTAATTAGGTGCATTCATAGACCATACGAAGTTTTGTCTCTTCGATGGGGCAACACGCGTACGGAGTTTTCTCGAGACGAATAAAGCCATCGAACAACGAAAGCTCGATAAATACGAGAAGGGAATATTCGATTTTCAGGGAGCCAAAATGTTCATGATACCTTTGACATTGCTTGTTCTTCTTAATTTGGGGTGTTTTGTTGGCGGCGTTAAGGGGTTGATGGGCGGCGGCGGTGAAGATGTTTGGACAGGGGCTTTTGTCTTTCTATGTTCTTTGTCTGAGTTTTCCTATTCTTGAAGGGTTGGTGCCAAAAATTGGCAAATGAAAAACTATATATATATATATAAAGAATCTGGATAATTAAATCAATATGTAATTCCTAGTTGTGAAGATTTTAAATTAAATAATTAATGGGAAATATTTATGGTGGTTCTAATTTGTTAATTTAACCATATACAACAACATTCTTCAAACAAAAATTCATTAACAGGAAAAAGATAAATAAAAATATAATATAAACAAATAGAAAAACAAATTAATAATAATAAATTGATAAAATTCAAGAAATTAACTGTGATTGTGATAGTGTTTCATCTTCATCATAAATCTGCATCTGGTTTTCTCCAACGATTCTTTCTTCTTCTTCAAAAGATTCAGCAACAATGGAATCTTTGACAGAATATTCCCCTCGTTCAGGCGAGCCTCCTTGCACACTGTTCCCACGCACACCATCTGTAACGGCGTGAACTCCTCCTCGGTGCGCACATCTGACGGCGTCAGACTGCCGTCAATGATCCTCCGCGCGATTTTCACGGCGGTCTCGTAAGTCGAGCCCAACCTGCTGATCTGGACGTCCACGTAGCACAGAGAGTCTTCCAACTCGAAATTGACTTTCACCTTCTTCGGTGACCGCCCTGTCACTTTATCATCATCATCTCCTCCTACTTCTCTTCTTCCCCTCTTTCTTCTTCCCGGAACCCTAATTTGTTTCCCGCCAAAATCATTGTCGGCGGCGGCGGATTTAAAATTGAAAGATTCCGATCCCGATTCGGATTCCGTTTCCGTTTCCGATTCCAACTCCGGCAAGAAGGAGATGAACTCCGCCGTCAAATCTGGGTACTTCTCGCCGAACAATCCGACAACTTTTTCGCGAACCTGGGAGACGGTGTATTCTCCCTTTGAGTAAGAAACCATGGAATCCAAGAACTTCCTGTACGCGCCATTGTTGTTGTCGGTACTGAAGATCTCCGAAACCCTATCCAAGAAATCGAGCGAGTCCGCCTCGTCCGCGGCGGCGACTGCGGCGGTGGGGGAGTAGTTCGCCGGCACGAAAGGTTCGAAACCGAGAAGCAGATCCGGGTGGTGCTGGAACAGCCTGTTAATCGCGACCACAGCGTACGAGGAGGGGATTGTTAGAAGAATATAATATATATTCTTTTTGATTTAGTTTAGCCTTAATTAGGTGATTTGATTAGATTCAATCAAGTCTTAATTAGTGATTTGATTAGGGATTTGATTAGATTCAATCAAGTCTTAATTAGTGATTTGATTAGGGATTTGATTAGGTGTAATTAGTTTCTTCCTTTATTATTTCTCTCTTGTGTGTATATAAATGTACAAGCTCTCATTGATGAAATACAAGACACAATTCATCTTTTTCATTATGTGTTTCATCATTTCTACATGGTATCAGAGCCAGGCCAAATGAAAGGTTTTGAGTTCGAATCCCACAGCCACCCATTTAAAAATATTTCAAGTGCAAGGCTTCAAATGTAATTCGCCTGCACTTGAGGGGGCGTATTGGAGATATTAATATTAAATGATACATTTCACTAACAGCTTAAGCTTTTGGTTGAGATGGTCTTTCTACATGGTATCAGTGAATCTTTGATTTTTTTTTCTCCTCATTCTTCAAAATGTCTACAGACGATCTTCTTCCTACAAAGTCTTCTTCATCATCACCCACACCCATCATAACCGATTTATACACAATCCATCATTCCGATAGTCCTTCTACTATCCTTGTCACACCTTTGTTGACAGGAGATAATTACGGATCATGGAGTCGTGCAGTCACAATGGCACTTCGTGCCAAAAATAAGCTTGGTTTCGTTGATGGGTCACTCCCAATTCCGACAGAGAAATCTGACATTTCTAATTGGGAACGTTGTAACGATTTGGTAGGAAGTTGGATCCTTAATTCTGTTTCACCTGAGATCCGTCCAAGTATCTTGTATGCTGAAACTGCAGCACAAATTTGGACCGATCTCAAGGATCGTTTTTCTCAATCAAATGCTCCAAAAATTTATCAATTGAAACAATCAATTTCTTCCCTCAAACAAGAAAGCATGTCTGTTTCATTGTATTTTACGCAACTCAAATCTCTATGGGATGAACTCGGTTCCATTATCCATATCACTCCTTGCATTTGTGGTAATGCTAAAAGCATTATTGACCAACAAAATCAAGATCGATCCATGGAATTTCTTCAAGGACTACATGATCGTTTTTCCGCTATTCGCAGCCAAATTCTCTTGATGGAACCATTTCCTTCCATTCAACGTATCTATAATTTGGTTCGTCAAGAAGAAAAGCAGCAAGAGATCAATATTCTCACAACTCCTACTGTTGATGCCGCTGCACTTCAAGCATCTAAACCTCAATTTCGTCCGTCAGGAAAACGTCAACGTCCATTTTGCGACCATTGCAACAAACATGGTCATACTCTTGCTACATGCTATCAACTTCATGGCTTTCCCGACAAACATGTGAAGAAATCCGTGCCACCTCCATCCAACTCCACTCTTATGGCTAGTTCACTCACGCACGAACAATACAACAAGCTTCTCACACTTCTTGCCAAAGAAGAAACTAGTGGACCCTCAGTGCACTTAGCAGGTAAAAATCACACATTTTCGTCATTTTGTTGGATTATTGACTCCGGTGCTTCTAATCATATATGTACATCTCTCTCATTTTTTTCTTCATATTCCCCTATTCGTAAAAACATATATGTTCAATTGCCTGATGGCTCTCACGCGCCTGTGACTCACATAGGCACAGTCAAATGTTTTGGTACTTTCATTCTCACGAATGTTTTTTACATTCCATCTTTTAAGTTCAATTTGTTATCGATTTCACAATTTACGAAATCCACAAATTGTGATATAATTTTTTCTTCGTCTGGATGTGTATTTCAGGACCAATCAACGAAGAAGACGATTGGTCGGGGTAATCCTCACAATGGCCTTTTCTATCTAGATTGCCATTTGATTTCTAATTCTGCTCTTTCTATTAAGCAATGTAATAAATTTGATCTATGGCATTCTCGCCTTGGTCATCCATCTAGGCCTCGTTTTGATTTTATTGTTAAGAATTCTCAAAATATTATTCCAAATAAGGATTTTGTTTGTGATGTTTGTCCACGTGCTAAACAGGCACGTCTTTCATTTCCTCAACGTACATCTTGTTCTTCTCATTGTTTTGAATTGATTCATGTTGATATTTGGGGTCCTTTCTCTATACCCTCACAAAATGGATCACGATTCTTCTTAACTATTGTTGATGATTATTCAAGATGCACTTGGATTTATCTAATGAAACACAAATCCGAAACTTTCAACATGATAACCCATTTTTTTAATCTAATTCGTCGTCAATTTAACACAAAAGTCTCTCGTTTCAATTCCGGAAATGGGGATATTTTTCTTCCTCAACTTCAAACCATACGTTCAGATAATGGTTCTGAATTTCTTTCCAAACAAATTCAAAAATGGTTTCATGATAATGGAATCATTCATCAACGTAGTTGCGTTGCGACCCCACAACAAAATGGCATTGTAGAACGTAAACATCGGCATCTCCTTGATGTCGCTCGAGCTTTACGATTTCAAGCAAACTTGCCTCTTTCTTTTTGGGGTGAATGTATTCTAACCGCTGCATTTCTCATTAACAAACTTCCAACTCCAGTTCTTCAATATAAATCTCCTCATCAAGTCTTAGTTGGACATCTTCCATCTTATTCCTCTCTTCGAGTTTTTGGGTGTTTATGTTTTGCTAAAAATATAAATATTCAACATAAATTTGATGAACGAGCAAAACCTGGCATCTTTGTTGGTTATCCTTATGGACAAAAGGGATATCGTATATACGACCTCAAAACTCGTCAAATTTACGTTTCACGCGATGTCATTTTTCATGAGTCAATTTTTCCATATCATGATCTTGTAAATTCATCTTTACAAGATCCAATTTCAATTACTCCAATCAATGATAATGGGACTTTTGACTACCCTACACCACTCATCGACCCCCCTTCGGGTGATTCTATTCCTCGTAATGAAACTACGAGTTTGGATGACTCGCCACCATCTCAACTTGATGATTCAATCAATTCTCCCTCTATTTCCGAATCTCCTTCCTCACATTCTCAAGTTGATGGTTCAACTAATTCTCCATCTATTTCCGATGGCACACCATCTTCTGATTCACCTTCTACAACCATTGTTCGTAATTACCCTCAACGCATCCGTCACCAACCAAAGCGTCTCAATGATTATATTTGTAATCATATTTCACTATCCACTGATTTTCCACTAGCAAATTACATTTCTTTCCGTAATTTAAGTCATTCCCATCGAGCCTTTCTCACAAATATCATTAAGAATCAAGAGCCGCGATCATATTCTCAAGCCATAAAATCAATTGAATGGCGTGATGCAATGGCCAAGGAAATTCGAGCTCTAGAATCAAATAACACTTGGTCCTTATGTCAAATTCCACCCGGCAAATCACCCATTGGTTGTAAATGGGTCTTCAAAATTAAATATCGGTCAGATGGTTCAATTGATCGATATAAAGCTCGTCTAGTTGCCAAAGGTTATACTCAAATTGAAGGAATTGATTACCATGATACCTTCGCACCTGTGGCAAAACTAGTTACTGTACGTCTCCTACTCTCAATTGCTGCCATTAAAAGTTGGTCCATCCACCAACTTGATGTTAACAATGCATTTCTTCAAGGAGATCTTAATGAAGAGGTCTATATGAAACTTCCCCCTGGCTTCTCTCACAAAGGGGAGACTCGTGTATGTAAATTAAATAAATCAATCTATGGTCTCAAACAAGCATCTCGTCAATGGTTCTCCAAATTCTCAACCACTCTTATTAGTCGAGGCTTTCATCAATCAATTTCAGACTACAGTCTTTTTACATATATTCGTAATAAGACATCCATTTTTATACTCGTCTACGTTGATGATATTATCATTACAGGAAATAATGATGATGCTATTTCCGATATCAAAAAATTTCTTGCCAATTCTTTTTCCATAAAAGATCTTGGTAATCTTCGATATTTTTTGGGTATTGAAGTATCTCGTTCTAAACAAGGCATCTTTTTATGTCAACGCAAGTATACTCTAGACATCTTATCTGATTCCGGGATGACTGGTTCTCGTCCGTCTGATTTTCCAATGGAACCACATCTTCGTTTACGTCCACATGATGGGACTCCTCTTCCCGATCCATCAATCTATCGACGTCTCATAGGGCGCCTGCTATATCTCACTGTAACACGACCTGACATTCAATATGCGGTAAATACTCTTAGTCAATTCATGCAAAATCCGCATTCTACTCATCTTGATGCTGCCAATCGAATCCTTCGTTATCTTAAAGGTACTGTCGGTAAAGGTTTATTCCTTTCTGCATCTAGTTCTCTCACTCTAGTAGGATATGCCGACTCTGATTGGGCTGGTTGTCCTACCACTCGTCGGTCTACCACTGGTTATTTCACCATGTTGGGTTCTAGTCCTATTTCTTGGAAAACTAAGAAACAACCAACCGTTTCTCGTTCTTCTGCCGAAGCCGAATATCGTTCTCTTGCTGCACTTACTTGTGAGTTACAGTGGTTAAAATATGTTCTAACGGATCTCGGTTTCAACCACTCTCAACCAATTCCAATTCATTGTGATAGCCAAGCTGCTATACACATTGCAGAAAATCCTGTCTTTCATGAACGCACCAAGCACATTGAGATTGATTGTCATTCGGTTCGAGAAAAAATTCAGGCAGGGCTCATTGCTCCCTCATACCTACGTTCAAGTGATCAACTGGCAGATATTTTTACGAAACCACTTGGCGGTGAAGCTTATCGACGATTAGTTCGCAAGTTGGGTGTTTTTGATATATCAATACCACTTCCAACTTGACGGGGGGTGTTAGAAGAATATAATATATATTCTTTTTGATTTAGTTTAGCCTTAATTAGGTGATTTGATTAGATTCAATCAAGTCTTAATTAGTGATTTGATTAGGGATTTGATTAGATTCAATCAAGTCTTAATTAGTGATTTGATTAGGGATTTGATTAGGTGTAATTAGTTTCTTCCTTTATTATTTCTCTCTTGTGTGTATATAAATGTACAAGCTCTCATTGATGAAATACAAGACACAATTCATCTTTTTCATTATGTGTTTCATCATTTCTACAGGGATCATCCTCGTGCCGAATTCTTCGAGAATTGCCGTGAATTGACAGAAGGTTTCATGATTAAGGTTTTTTTCGATTTGGTTAATGATGTTGAGAGCAAAGTTGAAAGCCATGATTACTGATTAGAATTTGACAGAAGAAACAATATGAAGCTTTAGCACATTATATAGAAGTAGAAGGAATGTACGGATGGAATGGGCTTTTTTGAAATTAAAATAAAATAAAAACGGGGGCCATGTTAATTTGGTAACATTTAAATGCTATTTTTATTAGGGTAAATTTCATTTTCTATCTAGTACTTTGACACGATATTATGTTACCCTCTTTTACTATCGATTGTATCGATTTGTCCCTCCGTACTTGAAAATTTGTCTCAATGTGGCCTCCGCTGTTGGTTTTCAGACAATTGACCTTAACACCGTTTGATTTAAGCTATGAAATTACAAAAACGCCATCTCTCCCAATTTAAATAATTATTAAAAAAAATAAAAACAAAAAATAAAACAATAAAAAATTCAAGCCAACGAGAAAACATAGTCCACAATGCCAGCCACAAATTATTATTTTTTTTAATATTTTTTAATAATTATTTAAACTGGGAGGGATGATTTTTTTGTAATTTTTAGACTTAGATCAAACAGTATTAAGGTCAAATGTCCGAAAAATAATGACGAGGGTCACATTGAGACAATTTTTCAAGTACATAGGGCAAATCGATGCAATCAAGAGTAGTAGGGAACAAATGACATTGAACCAAAGTACAAGGGGAAAAAGTGAAATGTACTCTTTTTATTATTTAACAATCGTGATGTAAAGTTTATTTACAAAAAAAAAAAAAACTCACTATTTTCCATAATTTGCTATTTGTAGATTCATACATTGACACCATTTTATAGGGGATGAATGTAAGAAATTCAAAACCTTCAAGGGTCTGGATGTAATTTATGAAAAATAAGGGGTTGTTTGAAATTATAACTTACCTGAGAGAGGTGTTTGTAATTTATCTTAAATAAAGGGTGCAAAGTGTATTTAACCCAAAATAAATGACAACCTACCGCACATAACTGTAGGGAAAAGCACCGGACCCATTTTTAATAAATATGAAGGGGCAAAGTGATGCATACTGAAAATCAAGGGGTGCAATCTCATATTAACAGATGGTTAAAGGGGCAATGTGCAATTTACTACAATGACAACTTCCGTTGCCCCGGGAAATCGCATACGGTTTTCACCAATTTAAACTAAAAGCGCTGTTTTAGCGGAGCGCTTTTTAAGGCCTCGAATACGAACAATCGGTAAAGGACAGGTATTTCCGTTAATACTGAAACATGAGGCAGCATCTCAAACCTTCCTTCAATTCCACGAAAAATCTTTTTCCCTTTTCCCCAAAATTAAAATTAAATAAATAAATCACATAAACTCAGTTGAGAAATCCCAAATCTGAAATCTCACTCCAACTGAGAACACAAATTTCAAGTAATTCAAATTTTTCTTTTTTTTCTCTCACACAAAAAATGGCCACCCAATTTCACACACTCTGGAGCTCACGCGCCGCCGCGCCGCTCATCCACCGCCGCCAATTGAAGAGCCCATTCCCCCATTTCAGTAAAGAGACGCGATTCCTCTCCAAACAGCTCCTGAGGAATTACAATTGCAACGTTCCCGTAAGAATTTCGAGAATCAGCGCCGCCGCCGCCGGCGATGGGGGCCGGGACTCGTACTTGGATATGTGGCAGAACGCGGTGGATCGCGAGAAGAAGTCTGTCGATTTCGAAAGGATGGCGGAGAACCCCGTAGAATCCGGCGGAAAGGAGGAGAGCGACGAGGAATTGGAGCGGAGGAATCGCGAATTCCAGAACCTTCTACAGGTTCCTCCCGAGGAAAGAGATAGGGTTCAACGAATGCAGGTCATCGATCGAGCTGCGGCGGCGATTGCAGCTGCGAGAGCGTTGGTGAAGGAGAATTCTCAGCCGGGGGTGGAGGTTTCCGGCGAAGGGACGGCTAAAACTGGCGGCGGAAAGATTGACGATCAACGAGAGGGTAAATTAAGCAATTTCCTTTTTTTTTTTTTCTTTTTTCTTTTACTTGTTCTTTGTGTGTGTGTGTGTGTGTGTGTGTGTGTGTGTGTGTGTGTGTGTGTGTGTTTGTGTGTGCAGATACTAAAAAAATCTGAAATAATTTCTAGGAAGCTAAATTAATGTATGTGTAACAAAATTGAGAATTTTCATACACACCATTTGGATCAAGAACATTGTCTGTAGATAATCACAATGAGAAATAGCTGCATATATATATAAAGCTCAAGAACTTGTTCTCGAGTTTGTGTAGAAAAAGGGCAGTTTCGTCTAACTTCACAATTTCCACTTCGGTTAATCACAAGTAAATTGAATTACAAACAAGAAAGAATCGTACGAAAACCAAGATTGTTTGTGCTTTTACCTTTACAACATCATATTTGAAAAATGTTGAGATGGACTTTGTGTTATATATTCAATCAGGTAGCTCGGGTGTAGGAACACCGGGTCCAAGTTTCTGGACGTGGACCCCACCACCAAGCGAAGATATTTTCGTCGAAAACAAAATGAAGCCAGCTGCACAAATTTCTCCACCTGCACCACAAGTGCTCGAACAAGATCGAAGTTTAGATATTCTATCGATCCCGTTCGAAACATCAACTCTTCAAAAGACGAACAAGATTTCCCTTCCTCCACTTCAGTCCCTTTTGAATGTAGAGGAAGAACACGAAAACGAGCTTGGAGTTCAGTTTTCGGCACATGCAGCTGAAGCGGCCGATGCACTGAGTGAAATGACCGAAACGCCCTTGTGGGGAGTGAATCCCGATGGGTCGAGGTGGTGGAAAGAGACTGGGGTTGAAAGAAGGTCCGATGGGGTTGTTTGTAAATGGACTTTGACGAGGGGCGTAAGTGCAGACGAAGCTACTGAGTGGGAAAACAAATATTGGGAAGCTGCAGATGAGTTTGGGTATAAAGAACTCGGTTCGGAGAAATCCGGGCGTGATTCTTTGGGGAGTGTTTGGCGTGAGTATTGGAGAGAATCCATGATGCAGGTTCGGTTTGTTATTTTTTTGTTGAAAATCGAATTGGATGGTATATGAGTAACTAATGATGAAAATGCATGCAGATTGAGGGGCTTGTGCATTTTGAGAAAACGGCGGACAAGTGGGGAAAAAATCTGCAAGGGGATGAGTGGCACGAGAAGTGGTGGGAGCATTACGATGCTTCGGGCCGGGCCGATAAGTGGGCCCACAAGTGGTGCAGTATCGATCCGGAGACTCCTTTAGAGGATGGCCATGCTCACATTTGGCACGAGAGGTAGTTCTTTATCTTTTATCTTGTCTTACAAACATGAACCCGAAGATATTTTGATTTTTTTTTCTCGCATTTGCCTGAAGAATTGAGTTGCAACTAAAATTCGATGAATCAAACTATGCATAAGTATGGATAAATAAATTAGCCTATTGTCTCCAATTAGGGGTGGAAATTGGAACTAAATTTCCGAATTCCGCTTATTCCGATCCAAAATCATTCCAATTTTTCAAAATTCCGATTTTCGATTTTTCCGATTCTCTTTTTTTTGGGGGGGAATGTAATTGGAATTAGGTTTTCACTTATGAGAAAAAATGATTATTTTTCCAAAACTGGCAATTCCGATCCTATTCGTCCGATTTCCACCGCTACATCTAATGTTTGCCTTTGCGTTTGATCGGCGAAATTTTGTGCCAATGATGCTAATTTTTTATGAAGGCTAAGCCCTTTTCTTGATTTATTGGGGTATTGTGTATTGAACCCAAAATAAAAAATATAAGTCTTTATCTTTGTTGATATTATCTTTGATTCATTCATGCACCTTTTATTGATTGTCGCGTTTTTTTTCCCTTTTGGTATTAGTACATATTCATTTTATAATTATTATTGATTTTTACGGTAGGTGGGGTGAGAAGTACGACGGGCACGGGGGGAGCACAAAGTACACGGACAAATGGGCGGAGCGCTTCGAGGGCGATGGATGGTCCAAATGGGGCGATAAATGGGACGAGAATTTCGATCCAAACGGGCTTGGTGTGAAGCAAGGGGAGAAATGGTGGGAAGGGAAAAATGGGGCCCGTTGGAACCGGACATGGGGCGAGGGCCACAACGGGTCGGGTTGGATCCACAAGTACGGAAAAAGCAGCTGCGGTGAGCATTGGGATACTCATGTTGAACAAGAGACTTGGTATGAGAGGTTCCCACATTTCGGTTTCTACCATTGCTTTGAGAACTCGGTTCAACTACGTGAAGTCGAAAAACCATCCGAATAATCGCATACATGTATAGTAGTGTATGTATGAATTGGAAGTTTGATATAAGTATTTGAGTAAGAATAGGTGGTGTTTGGCTTCTTTGACGTTGGAGAAATAAAATCCTTTTGTTTTCTATTATACATTTTGTTAAATAGGTGAGAAATAACAAAGTATAGTCCTTGGAATCCAAAAAAAAAATCGTGGTGTAAGACGGAAACAAACCTCGGGGGTTTTTTGATAATTACGAATAGGTGAGTGAATTCATTATTTAGCCGGGTGTTCGTAATTTACCCATTAATCTATATAAGAAAGGATGGGCTAAGCCCATTTCCACACACTTATTTTCCCTTTCCTGTCAGCCCATTGAATATTAAAAATTTAAAAACGACGCCGTTTTTATTTTTGACAGCCCCAAATCTTTTTATATATTAATATCTATGTTTTCAAACTCTTCACTCTCCAGCAGATTCAGAATACAGATGATGCAAAACTTGTTCGGCGATCAATCAGAAGAAGAGGAAAAGGAGGTGGAGGCGGTTGAATCTGAGCGTGAATCCAATCGTCAACCTGATTACGCCTCCGTATGGATTAATCTCTCTCTCTCTCTCTCTCTCTCTCTCTCTCTCTCTCTCTCTCTCTCTCTTGAAATAATTTGATTCAATTGCCCCTCCTTTTTGTGATAAGATTGTAATTTTCTGGATTGAGTTACCTCTGTTAGGTTTTGTTTGATAGCTTGGCTATTATCCTGTTTGACTGATTAAAATACTTTACTTTGGTTGTTATCTTGTTCGAATGACAGTGTGCTAAGAGAAGTTTTGTGGGCGATAATGGTGATCGGATAAGTCGGTTGCCCGACGAGCTTCTGGTCGATATACTGTCTTTGCTATCGCTGAAGGAAGCAGCACGCACTAGCGTTCTTTCGCCTCGTTGGATCAACTTGTGGAAACACACCCACTCTCTCAATTTTGATGCTCGAAACGCTTTGGAGGATATTGTGAAAAAACACTGGATCCGGCGCAAATTAATGAAAAGGGAGGGACCTAAGTACGTGAAGTGGGTGAACACCGTTCTCCAATCACACAAATCTCCCACCTTAAAAGAATTCGTAATCCGTTTTACCCTAGACGCGACGGCCAAGAACTCAATCAATTTGTGGCTTCAGTTCGCATTTGCCACTCGACAAGTCGAGAGGTTAGAATTGGACCTTCTATGTTATTTCGGATCTGGCTTGCAATACTGGCTTGCAATACTGTTTCCCTGAAGAGTTCCTTCCTCTAAGCAATTGCGCAACGCCTAAATTGCAAACCCCTTCGAACATTTTTTGGATCCATCGCCCTCTTGTGCCTGAAAACTTCAAGTCCCTCAAAGATTTGTCTTTTAAAAGTGTCAATTTGAGTGGTGCAGCTATCGAGTTCTTTTTGCACAACTGCCCGTTACTTGAACGATTGGTTGTCCATCGATCTCGTAAAATATCAAGTCTCGAAGTTTGTGGTCCATCTCTTAGGTTAAAACATTTGGAGTTAATCGATTGCTATGATTTTAAAACACTTAAAGTTTCCTTGCCAAATCTTACCTCACTACTCGTTACGATAATAGACATACTATTGCTTGAGTATGTTCCAATGTTAGTTGAGGTGTCTGTTAGTTGTGACGATGACGGTGCTACTCCGAAACGATTCATTTCTGCACTGCCTAGCTGCATTTCTCAATTGCAAACTCTTCGCTTGGAGTTGTATACCACAACGGTTAGACAACAAAAACTGTAGCTATTATTTATGTGTGGTTTGGTTTACACGTATGAATTATCTCCTTATTTGTGGTTTGATATAACAGGAAACAAAAGAGATCTACAAGCTTCCTGAAATGCCTAAACTGAAGAAGTTGGTCGTTTTGTTTTTCGCGGACGGTGGTGAAAATATTTTTAAAATGACTGCTTTGATAAGGGCGTCTCCTTCCTTAGAGGAATTTGAATTAAAGGTTGGTTTTCTACCAAATTGGTATTATTCTGATTTGAATTAGAGCACTATAAGATTTTTTCGTCATATGCAGTACGAATGGGGTCGTCTTCCGAGAAAAGATAGAGAAATCAAGGATTCAATAACAAGTTCTCCCCACCATCACCTTAAAAGCTTCAAATACTCTGGCTATTATGGTCGACACTGTGACGTTGCATTACTTGGCTACGTTTTGGAGAACTGCTTTGCGCTCGAGAAAATAATAATCGATCCCTCTGGTTCATATGGCCTTGATAAATTGAATATGGAACAAATTGGAAGGAAGAACGCAAAGCAACAGCTTGAACCACAAATACCTGAGCATGTTAAATTAGTTATTCTCTAGCTTAAAAAACTCCTAGGAATCGCAGTATTAAACTATCTGTTTTGTTGTTAAAATTTTAACTTAAACAATGTACGGATTTTGCTGCATTCAATTAGATTGTGGAAACACTAATAATTTACTGTTTTCATCAATGTCTAATTGCCAAAAATTTGTCCACCACTGTTTTGCCTTCTTCCTTTTTTTTCTTTTTTTTTTTAAATAATTATTATTATTTCTCATTTTATTTTTCTCAGTTATACACACACACACACAGAAGCATCGTTCAAGATGCGGTGCCGGTTTCCTATTTATGTCAGATAGTAAAATAGCACGATGAATATTATTGAATCAGAACAAGTAGTTGCTCGTTATACGCAAGAACATGCATTGTCTTTATGCAATTAAGGACAGACAATGTCGTCGACTTAAGAAGAAATAATCATACGAGTCAATAACATAATTAAGTAAAATGAAAACTGAGGAATACAACTAGTTTAACCAGGAAAGTCAAACAAAACGAAGGAAAAAGAGTCCTATGAAACCAAAGGCAAATTCGAGCATTTTAGTCCGAAAATTTTTGAGGTCTTGTACAACTGGCGGCTTCTCACTTCAAATTTGAGGGGTAATCCGATGGATTTGTACCAACTTATTCTTGCGTACTAGCTTCTCATTTTCAGCAACTCTATTAGAATCAGAGCTAATTTCCGATACAAATTTCACAAGTTAACCTTCTTGCGGTGCCTGTGTATCATTAGCGAGTAACCTAGCACGAAGTAAAAAAAACAGTAGGATACATAATCATACAATATTTAACAAACAAATTTGGGTTTCAGATTTACTTGGTATTAGGAAATAGTTTAAATATATATATATATATATATGTATATGTATGGATTAATAATACCTTTTAGCTACTGACAAAATGGCTACTATACCACCAAATGTAGGTGAATTGTTCTGATTAATAACCCCTGGAACTGTTGCGCGCCTCTCCTGTATATTCCATCAGAAACTATTGAAGCAATGTACGTAAACTTAATTTTTACTAGCGTAAAATCTAAAAACTTAAATTTTATTTCAGATAAATTAAATCAATACCATTTATTTCATATCAGTGCTTGTAGGTTTCTCTGTAAATTGGGTTGTGAAACTATTGTCCATTTTCACGAGTCCAACCGATGATGCTCGCCTAAAAAGTAAAATTTAATTGTAGAAAAGAATAAAGAATACATGCAGATTAGAAATTCTCATAATCTTCTGGGTTCCTTTTGCTTACACAAAGAAAAATTAGAATAACAGTAATAAAACAAATTTTGCAAAATGGAATAGCAGAACCTAAGATTAATCACCTATGTTCCAGGCTATAGAAACGACGAACACAAATTTCACAGGCAAATGGATGTAGGATCGTTGAAGAAAGTCAGCAACCATAGAGGAAATAAGTATGTGTGGGTGTTTGTATGTCTGTTTGTGTGTGTGTGTGTGTGAGTGAAAAGTTTGTTGGAGTGTGTGTGTGTTTGTTTTTTCTATTTTTGTGTGTGAAAAATGTTGTGTTGGAGTGTGTGTGTGTGTGCGCGCGCGCGCACGTATGAAAAGTGTGTTGGAGTGTGTGTATAAATGCGTGTATGTGTGTGTGTCAAAACTGTGTGTGAGTGTATCCATGTATGTATGTGTGTGTGTTTGTGAAAAGTGGACTGTGTGTGTGTGTGTGTGCATGTGAAAAGTGTGTTGGAGTGTGTGTATGTGTGTGCGTGTGAGAAGTGTGTTGGAGTGTGTATAAATATGTGTATGTGTGTGTCAAAACTGTGTGTGAGTGTATGCATATATGTATGTGTGTGTGAAAAGTGGAGTGTGTGTATGTTGGAGTATGTATATGTTTGTGTGAAAAGTGTGTGCCAAAAGTGCTATTTTAGCAATGTTTGAATTTTTCCGGTGAATCTGACGCAGAACGGAAGCACAGTAAAGAATTAATTTCTACGAATTAATCCTATCGAACACGATAACTCTGGAATCCACCAGATAATTGAGAGAAAACTCAGAAATTTTATTAATAATGAAAGATGCTGAAAAATAAATCCTAGAGCAACTATTTATACTAAAAAAACGAAAAACCTAATCAAACTAGGAAAACGAGAAAATTACCAAAAAAAAACTGACGCAGAACGGAAGCACAGTAAAGAATTAATTTCTACGAATTAATCCTATCGAACACGATAACTCTGGAATCCACCAGATAATTGAGAGAAAACTCAGAAATTTTATTAATAATGAAAGATGCTGAAAAATAAATCCTAGAGCAACTATTTATACTAAAAAAACGAAAAACCTAATCAAACTAGGAAAACGAGAAAATTACCAAAAAAAAAGGAAAAACCTAATCAAACTAGGAAAACGAGAAAATTACCAAAAATAAAAATAAAATAACTCCTAAACCTAATAGAATACCGAAAGTTGGAAACAACCCAACTTGCGGAATTCAAATCCTAATCAAACTAGAATTCCGACTCCGCCACCTCTGCATCAATCCCTTCTTCTTCGAAAGAGCTCGACCTCGAGCTTGTATCGGGATAAAGTGGGGTATTCTCCTGATACTCGTATAAGTCCGAAACGTTGAAAGTTTTCGAAATACCCATGTGAGCCGGGAGGTCGATTACGTAAGCATTATCATTAATTTTCTGAAGGACTTTGAACGGTCCATACTTCTTTGGCTTGAGCTTGTTATACGTTCCCACCGGGAATCGCTCCTTTCGAAGAAATACCATGACATCGTCCCCCGCATGAAAAGTCTTCAGCCTGCGATGCTCGTCCGCGGTAGCTTTATACTTGGCATTCTTTTGCTCGAGCCTCTCCTTAACCTCTGCTTGGACGTCTCGTACTTCATTAGCCAGTCGCTCAGCCGCCACACTTTTTCGGTGCTCTTGAGGGAGGCGTATCAAATCCACTGCATGCTTCGGAGCTGCTCTATAAACCAACGCAAAAGGAGACATTCCAGTGGCGCTGTGCACAGCGCTATTGTAGGCAAACTCCGCTTGTGGTAAAGCATGATCCCATTGCCTCGGGCGATCGCCGCAAATACATCGTATCAAATTTCCCAAAGTCCGATTAGTCACCTCCGTTTGCCCATCAGTTTGCGGATGTGCTGTGGTGCTTCGCTTGAGGGAGGTGTCAAACATCTTCCAAAGGACAAGCCAAAAATGGCTAAGGAACTTCACGTCTCGATCGGATGTGATTGTCTTCGGTACGCCGTGTAAACGGACTACTTCTCGAAAGAACAGTCTCGCAATGTGAGACGCATCAGAAGTCTTTCGGCACGGAATGAAGTGAGTCATCTTGGAAAACCTATCAACCACCACGAAAACCGAATCAACCCCCCGCTGGGTTCGCGGCAAGCCCAACACAAAATCCATCGATAGATCTTCCCAAATACCACTTGGGACCGGGAGAGGTGTATACAACCCCGTATTTTGAGATTGACCCTTCGAAACTTGGCAAACATAGCACTTTGCAACTATCTTACCAACATCTCGTTTAAGTTGAGGCCAATAAAACCGCTCCTCGACGCTGCTCGTCGTCTTGTCTCGTCCCAAATGACCGCTTAGCCCGCCCGCATGTAGATCCACAATTAACTTTTCGCGAAGAGAAGTCCTCGGAATGCACAGCTGGTTACCTCTAAATATGAATCCTTCACTAATATAATAATCCTCCATCGGCTGTCGCGCAACACACTTAGACCATATTTCTCCAAAATCCTCATCTCCCTCGTACAGCTCCTTCAAACACTCCAATCCGACCACTTCTTCACTAAGAGTGGTAAGTAATGCAGCTCGCCGACTTAGGGCATCTGCGACACGGTTCATGATTCCACTCCGATGCTTGATGACAAACGGAAACTTCTGCAGGAAATTTGTCCACCTCACATGCATGTTGTCGACACTTTTTTGACTATTCAGAAACTTCAAAGCTTGGTGGTCGGTGTATAGTACGAACTCTCGCTGTATCAAATAGTGTTCCCACTGTTTCAAAGCTCGAACTATTGCATAAAATTCTTGATCGTAAGTGCTCCACTTCCTTCGTGTGTCACTCAATTTCTCGCTGAAGAAAGCCACGGGACGCTTTTCTTGGGACAAAACAGCTCCAACGCCTACTCCACTGGCGTCACATTCTACTTCAAACACCTTCTCGAAACTAGGCAAGGCTAGGACAGGTGCATTACTTAATTTCTCCTTGATCACTGCAAAACTCTGATCTGCCTTGTCACCCCACATAAATTTTCCCTTCTTCATACATTCAGTAATTGGTGCCATGATGGTGCTGAAATTCCGAATGAACCGTCTGTAGAATGTCGCCAATCCATGGAAACTCCTGACTTCCGAAACATTCTTAGGCGTGGGCCACTCACGAATTGCCCGAACCTTTTCATCATCGACATGAATTCCTTCCGCCCCAACTATAAATCCCAAGAACAGTAATCGACTAGCCATAAAAGTGCACTTCTTCAAATTGATAAACAGCTGATTATCCCTCAAAACAGTTAACACCTCACGCAGGTGTCCCATATGCTCGTCTTCGTGTTTGCTATAAATCAGGATATCATCGAAATACACAACGACAAATTTTCCAGAAAAGGGTCGTAATACCTGATTCATCACGCGCATGAAAGTGCTGGGCGCGTTCGATAACCCAAACGGCATCACCAACCATTCGTATAAGCCATCTTTTGTCTTGAACGCTGTCTTCCACTCGTCCCCGGGTCTAATCCGAATCTGATGATACCCACTTCGAAGATCGATTTTTGAAAACAGCTTCGCACCTTCCAGCATATCCAACATATCGTCAAGCCGCGGAATGGGAAAACGATACTTTATGGTAATCCGATTTATTGCTCTACTGTCGACACACATCCTCCAGCTGCCGTCTTTCTTCTTCACTAGTAGCACAGGCACCGCACACGGGCTCATACTCTCTCTAATAAACCCCTTTTTCAGCAGCTCCTCCACTTTCTCTCGCAAAACCTCACATTCTTGCGGATTCATCCGATAATGTGGCAGATTTGGTAGGCTAGCACCGGGCACTAAATCAATGTGGTGCTGAACGTCTCTCATAGGCGGCAACGAATCCGGTAGGTCATTGGACACCAACTCGTCAA